ACACTTACGTTGTCTTGAGGAAGGATATCGCTTGCCATGGCAGAGGGTAGCTTTTGCATCAGCGCTTCTAGGCTGGACTTATTTAACTCGTCGTAGTTGGGCAATGTATAAGTTCGCCCATCAGCTTAGAATGACGGCCCTTTACTCAAGCTTCTTGAGGCGCAGCCGAACGTAACACCGGTGAGTTCGACTCTCCTAGGCCGGCTCCATCTGACTGACAACTGCCATGCTTCTCCGCAATCTCGGTTATCGGAAAAAATTTTTGTGAAGGATGCCTCATGAGTTGGACCCGTCTGACAAGTCATACCGAATGACCGTGACTGAGTTTTCTTTCTTTGTACATCAATGGAAGAACATTTTGTGAGATGTTGTGGTGTAGCGAGTGGTGGAGTCCTTGCGTACATCATGCACATGTCCCTCGCAGGATCTCTCGAACAGAAAAGTAGATTGCTTAGCCAAAAACAGATGTGCATGGGATAAAGATTTCAGTGTGTTATTGGTGGGACTTCAAAGCGGTATCACTGGATACCAGCACCGTTGTAAGGACCACAGTCCACCTTAATCGAATATGTAAGAAACATGGATGACGTCACGCTTGAATTCATTCAGAAATACTCAATTTTTCTCTACTACTCGGCAATGCGAAGACCGCATGTGGGATCAGGCTACGCCAAAAGATCATGGATTTCGATCAGAGAATGCGACCGTACCCAGGTTATTTAACAAAGTTAGCAGCCTCTAATTACCACCTCCTTTGGTCCCTATCGCATCCTTCAAAAAGCAAAAATTCCGAAAAATCGACCTCAACTCGAGAATGAAGTCCACCTCTTCTTCTTATCATAGTTTCCGTAGTTCTGCGAGAATGGAAATGATAAGCTTGGCAAAGAGGCACTAGTCTAGCATCAACTGGGCCAATTACCGTTGTAGATTGAGAGATGTCCTTTTAGTGACAGAAGAATTAGGTACCGAAAAATTTGGTCAAAGTGTCGCAGACCTTTTCGAACAACCTAATAGCTTGTCCGGAAAGCTTTGAGAAAAGTTCGCACTTTTATTCTGAAGACGTGTAGCGAGCGAATGCCCCAATAGGAGTCATATATCAAGTGCTATGAGGAAAGTGAAATGTTTGTAGATCAGTACTAATGCTGGTTGTTATTAAAGGCGGGAAGTCCCCGCGATCACAGCTTTCATAGGTAATACAGTTTCAAAAATAAGAATTGCCCTAAGTTGTTGACGTCATTGAAGGAAGGAAGCTAGCGCAAAAAAGGCGCCCCTGCAGATAATAAGCCTCTTTATTTCAATTGATCATGATCACCGGACGAGCGTAAGGTGGTCAAGATCGATTGTGGATGGCAAAAGGCGCGAAGACACTGATAAGAGACGAGAGAGGCCAGAAAACGACGAGCGAGAGAGCACAATGGCAATGTCACAACGACACGATCACCGGAGGCCGGCATGGGCCTATCGGGCGCCAATGGGCCTAAAAGCTGAGCGCGCCGCGTTTTGCTTGCTGTTTTTCAACTTTTGTAAGCAGCATAGCCTCTGACGTTGCCTGCTTGACCGTCGGGCACGGTTATGAGAACCTAGCCTTAGTTTATCGCGGAACGTGCCTTTAACCTCCAGTTGTTGGTATGATTTGACATCATCTGGAAAGTGTACGAGCGCCCACGACTCTCAACGCCTTTTAGTTCTTCTTCACCGTTCTGGTACCTCTATCGGTCAGATCGCGTACAAGGAACCGTGTCAGATGCTGGATAAAATGCGCTTCAAAAATATCTATACCAGGAGATCAATCGGTCTCTTCCGTGGAACTATCAGCTTTACTTGGTTGATGGTTAGATGTTAGATGTTGCGCACGCCCCCTCGTTCTCAGTACTCGCTTAGTTCTAGCTGCCACGCAAGGTAATTCCGCTCAAAAGGTAAGGGGCCTAGTATGGAGAACTTTATTATAAGTATGAACTACTATCTCTTTTTGTTGTTGTAGGGTGTTAAAGGAGTTGGTTGAAATTTCTCGGAAAAGTTCCAGACACCCTAAATATAATGAGAGAGTGAAACTTCTGAAGCCACATAGTGATTGTCCACGCTCTCATTTCAACCTACCATCTTGCGTTTCCTTATAATTATTGGCTACATAGGCCCCACGTATCTGTGACCTGTGGAATTGTGATCATGAAGTTTTCGCTGAACATTTAAATAAATTTGTAACTTCACACCTGACGCAATTCGATAAGATCAAACAGGTCAGTGGCCAGAATAAGCCCTTTATCTCCTTGAGTGGTGGCGCTTTCATGTGTTCTGTGCACAGCTCAGTTTCTCTGTGATCCATAAGTCAGTCTGAGCCCAATGTGAGTTTGGAAACCGGTAACGAAGTAGGACCAAGAGAAGACATGAAAACACCGAATGTGTCGCGCTCTATCGGACCTTTCCATTGCTGTAGGCAATGTTCAGTTTATGGCTTAGTTATGGGCTGGATGGATGAGACTTTTTCCCTTTTCCTTGCGATTCAGGTAACCTCACTGAACCGCGCTCGAGAGCAGTGTTTTGGTGGGCATCGGGGAAACACTGTTCTCGAGCGTTCAGTTGAAGGTCTATTAATCTTAAGGAAAAAACCATTTAATCACCGCTCGTCGCTTACATATTGCTATACCAGTCGGCTCGCCGGCTAACGCCGGCGTGCCTCCTTCTGATACGGCCCGGCTGCGCCGGGCGGGCGCGGCTTCGCCGCGCGTATTTTCTTTCACATATTTCTAGACTCAACTGATATCCGCCTTTTGTTCTGTACTCCACTTTTTCCGGTGTCTGAAGTACTCTTGAGCTACTTTACAGATTCTTCGTCTGACTCCGCCCACCTCGGAGCAGGCCCCGCCCACAGTGTTTGTGCCCTACAATCTTCACACAACGGCGAACCTGCTGCTGACCTCAAATCCACTTTTTTTTCCGGTGTCTGAAGCGTTCTGGAACCGTTCTACAGAACTTTCGTCTGGCTCCGCCCACCTCGGGCTGGCCCCGCCCACATATGTATACCCCACATTTCTCAATCGGCGACCCCATGCTGACCTGAATTCACTTTATTCCGGTCTTCGGAGTGCTCTGGAACCGTTTCACAGATTTTTCGTCTGACTCCGCCCACCTCGGAGCAGGCTCCGCCCACAATGTTTTTGCCCCACAATCCTCACCGGCGACCCTCTGCTGACCTTGGTCCACGTTTTTTTCGGTCTTCGGAGTGCTCTGGATTGTTTTAGAGAATTTTCGTCTGGCTCCGCCCACCTCGGAGCAGGCTCCGCCCACAATGTTTTTGCCCCACAATCCTTCACCGACGACCCTCTGCTGACCTTAATCCACTTTTTTCCGGTCTTCATAGTGCTCTGGGACCGTTTTGTCCGATCTTTTGTCTGACTCCACCACCTCGGCTGGCCCCTACCCCACAAGTTTTTTGCCCCACAATCCTCACGGCGACGCCTCTGGCTGACTTAATCCACGTTTCTGCCTGGTCTCCCCGTCTGTTGAAGTGCTGTGGGCAGTTTCAGAGATTTTTTAGTCTGGCTCCGCCCAATCCTCACTGGCGACCCTCTGCTTACTTTAATCCACTGTATTCCGGTTCGGAGTGCTCTGGAACCGTTTTGCCGATCTTTTGTCTGACTCCGCCCACCTCAGAGCAGACCCCGCCCACAATGTTTTTGCCCCGCGATCCTCACTGGCGACCCTCTGCTGACCTTAGAACACTTTTTGCGGTGTCTGGAGTGTTCTGGAACCGAGCTACAAACTTTTAAAATGAATACCCTGCGATTTAGGGCAAGCTCCGCCCACTGTGGGCGGTCTCAACACACTTTGAGCGTGCCCTATATTCGCCAGATATTTACATTCTACACTGAGTTTTTGCGACTTCCAAACACTCTCGCGAACCGGGTTACTGAATTTTGCGAGAAGCACCGCCCACCTTGAGTACGCCCCGCCCATTTATGGGTGTACCTGCCACAGTTAGTCTGGCGACTCCTTACTAACCTTATTCCCTTTTTCCCCATCTTTAAGCTGCTCCGGAAGCGAATTATGAACATTTTTCTGCGGAACCCCAAACTTTCGGCGAGTGCCCCGCCCACTGTGGGCGGGGCTTCCCATAGGTCAAGTGTGCTTTTTATTTCTTGTCCCATGCCCTACCCAGTCCCACCTTGACCCGACCTCTCCAAGTCGTTCTTCAAGTCGAACCGAATTTCCGGACAGACAAACTTACAAACAAACAAACAAACAAACAAACAGACAGAAGCGAATTATATATATGGGGTGATTGTCGAATATGATAAAGCATTACACAAGAGATGCGCTGAAACATATCGTCGAATTGATAAACATTACACAAAAGAGCGCTGGGAAATACATGATAATAAATCTAAACAATGCTAAGCAATGCAAAGTCGCCATAGACCGCGACAAAATGTGAGGCAGCGTTCAGACTTCGCGACGGCAGCGCTTCGGTCGCGCGTTCGACGCGATCGATGCGCATGCTTTCGACTGCATCGATCGCGTCGAACGCGCGACCGAAGCGCTGCCGTCGCGAAGTCTGAACGCTGCCTGATATTGGTGAACATGCCCCGCCCCTAAAATTGACAGGTACTGGGCTCAAATGTCCCTGGCAAGGCCAAAGGCAATGCTACCGCACAAGTAGCATGAAAGGGAAATGCTCCATAGTCTCTTGCGGAGTCATAGGGCCTATTAGGAAGAATGAACCGACTGGATGCGATTCAACACGTCGGTCTTTGGGCCTTTTACCCGTATAAGACTCCTCCTATTAGGGGAGTTTCCAACGTTCCCTTTGGCATTTTCTCTTTACAGTCGAGTCACTTAATAAGTTGTCTTCCTTATTTCAACACCACTAATAAGCTCCTCATCGCTGACCGTGCCTTTAACGTTTCTATGACAGAATATTGCTCTGATAAAAAGATCCACAGCGATTTGAAACGTTCATAAGGATCAAAAAATGTGATTGAATTAAAAGTGAAGAACTCACTGATCTCATTCGTGTTGGGACTGTAGAATGCATTCACGAGCGCTGCTCCAGCAACCCATCTAAAAGTCACTGATCACTTCTAGTGTACGACAGTATGGTGAGTAGCCGATAGAATTTCATTTGGGTAGCTGCTAACTAGGTGCCACAGCACAACAAGGCGCTATAGAAGTGAAGGGAACATTAAGTTAACCCCGCTGTCAGATAATGTGGGTAGTAGGGATGCGAAGCTGCTTTTTTCAGAGCTTGCAAGTCGAACCATATAAAAAGTATCGCGCGGAGGACTAGAAATTATTTAAGAAAAGGTTAATGGTTCTACGACTTAGTTCCAGGATCTCCTAGCTCGTGTTTCTTCACTGCATCGCGAAAGGGGTGCAATGACTACCACTGAGGACAAAGCTACTGAGTCGCAGAAGAAGAGCAAGTTCGCATCTGATTGTGGAGAGCATCTACAGAGACGATTTCTGCAATTGCAATTCGTGGGAGGTGGGGTCCAAAAATGAATTGTTGAAGCCACGTGGCCCTGCAGTGAAGAAAAAAAGCCATCTTGAATAGTGGGCCGAGGCATACTCAAAGAAGCAGACATACATAGCTGCGCGGAATGAGATACCACAGCAACGCGAGAGAGAAGCCACTGCCAGGGAACAGGAAGATCAGCCGAGACCGCTACACCATCTCTTGGGCTTGCAAAGAATGTTGCAAGGAATCATGGCTGTTTCGCTTTAGATAGCACCGTTGGAAATGCGGTTGCACGGCATTAAAACCAAACTCGTGCAACTTTGGATAGAGGCGGCGCAACAACAAGCGATGACTGCTGCCCCAGCGGCCAAGCAGCGCCACAGTGAAAGGCCGTTCGAACAATGGGTGCGATGAGTTTTCCAATGTTAAGCTGTATATAAGAAGAATTGAATGAAGGTGGGAGCCTCGCCAAATACGCTCTACATATTCTCATCACTGGCTGGGCCATCGCGTTCCAGTACATCCCGCTGATACTGCTCATAGAACTGGAACTTGGTTTTGTAGTAACCGCCATCGTAGACCTAAACAGCAGGGCTTCGACTTAAGGGTCCATCAAACAAACGGCCAAATCTAACCTTGAATAACCGATATTCATGATCTACTTGAGCTCTGGAGGCTCGCTTCAAAGTATCGGGATAGCCATTTTCTGCTTCAGATGCGTATTGTGCAGCCCTACATGTAAACTGAAGAGTCTCTGCGAAAATATAAATAGTATATGCTAGCCTTTCTGTTAGGCCGAACTTTTTAGTTTCCTCTGTGAGCCAATCTTCGGACACGAGGAGATCGACGAACGCTTCCATAATGAGACTAATCATCTCCTCGACCTAAGTGAACCACAATAAAAGTGAGGCCTAACTGGAAGATGTTGCTGAGAGATCTATGGACTTCTTCTGCTCATTGTTATGCAACAAGGAACACTGGGACATTTTCAGTGAGACACTCGAGCCTTACACCCATAGACCCTTTGTTTTGCTGTATTGACACTGCCCCTACAACGAACGTGGGAAACACCCAAGTTGAACTGCCTCTTGTTGATGAGACCTGCCCACCATCAAAATGCCTCTGTCAAAATGCTAAATCTCTAATTATCACTAAGAATGCTGAGTTTGTGGCAAAAGCCCGTGCCGCAGGCGGGTAGTACGAAACCCGCAGCTTACGCTTTCGGCGAGTGCGCTATCGTTACGCCACCAGGGCCGCTTTTACCCTCTCAGCTTAACGGCTTATGCCGTAACCTTACAGCACTCACACGTTTACCTTGGGACTTTTGCCAGCAACTCCAAGGCATTCCTTTTGTGATGTAATACGTTCCGGAACGCAGTACTGCAGTTATCATAACTAATCTCTAGTGCCCTTTAGAGCTCCTTCTGAACACATTATGGAAGCTTTGCCCTCATTCGTGATACATTTCTTCACATAGAAGCGCCGCTCACATCTAATGTTGCGTTAGAGACGCTAGCCTCAGTGGGGCCGTCGCTAGCGCGTATTATAGGTATAGTGATCTAGGTGCAGGTCTAGTTGGAGGCATCCGGGGGTAGGGTTCGATTGTAGTGCTGGTACCGGTCTAGCGAAGTTTTTTCACCGTTGACATTCCTTGTTCACCTGCACCTCTTCACATCGGGGCAAGTGCGAGGTTTAAAAAAAAAGGAGGCTGGGTGGGGCCGTTAGTGAGGAGAGAGAGGGTGTCAGAAGAAACTTGATTTGCCTACGTTGCGCCACGTTGTTGAATCCGCGAGTTTTCTCTGACAAGACAATACTGTCTCATTCGCAGTTTTTTCCGTTATCATAGTTGTTATCTACCCCCCCCCCCTCCTCCAACACAAAATAATCTTCGGGAAACTGTTTGAATGTCAGAGAGCGAAAGTAGACGGTATGGGAAAAGGGCGAAGTCTTATCGGAGAAGGAACCTGGAGGGGATCATTAAGTCATCGAAAATTATACCCAGCGGTTATTACCTAGCCCCCATGACTAGTAATATAGGTTCGCCCCTAGTGCTGAAAGATTCTATAATCTGATCCTCGCTAAACTATCAGTTTTACTTTTTTTGCGGAAGCGCATCGAGAAAAGATTTCGACGCTGTCTCCAGCGAAGCCCAAAATTTTGCCCGAACGCCGGAAAAGAGGGTGATCAGCGAACGCAGATGGTCCCTCAGCTCGAATATCATCAGAGTGATCATCGATCGTGGCTGATCTTTAGGAGGAATTGGTTTCTACTCATCAGGAACATGAAAACAGCGATGAGTAAGAGGCAGACTCCCAAAACGATCGGTATGAGTTACGGGGACCCAGGCAGAAGCTGAACAAGTGTCAGAATGCCGGGTAAATACACTGCAAAATCCGCCAAGATGTTGGTAAGGCCTGGGCTGCGTACTTGAATTGAATGTAGCAGCGGCTGAGCTATTTATGAGATCTTTGGATTTTGAGACAGTTGTAATCATGCCTTCGATCAACCCAGAACAAGATGGCAGTTCTCTCAAATTGAAATACCTCACGAGTGAGCCACACCATGCCATATTGGGATGCCACGCCTACTTCATCCCAGGGATATGGATGTGCCAGAGAATTCGAAATGCCGTCATTAGCGAACGAGTAATATTCAAAGTATATTCCTTATCCCTGAGCCAGAGTAGGCGTGGCATTTTAACATGGACACGAAACTGGTTACTCGTGCAATATTTAAGTGAGGACAACTGCCATCTTGTTCTGTTGTTGAACAGGACAGTTGACAACATATTTGTATAGATGAAAATATAGCACCAGATGCAGGGAGACGCTTTCAGATTAAGTTGAAATATGCGGCCACGCCTACCCGATCTCAGGGATTCCGAGTATACCATTGTGCTGCGAACGTTGAAATTTTGAAGATGATGCGATAAAAAATTGGCTGATTCTAGATGGAGTTTTTCCCCTAACAACTTGGCTAGGCTTAAGTTCAGTCTCACGACTGCGTCGTACCGTCAGCATAGCGCTAGGATTAATGGAAGAGGTCCACTTTCCTCGTGAACATGCACTTTTTTTCTCAAAGCAAGGATAAAACTGGGAAGTTAGCTTGAAATTTTGTTTTCAAGAGTACTGTAAGCCCCTGGACACCAATTTGACACTCTCTCGGCACGAATACCATTCTGAGCTTGTGTAACGGGCCTTGATACGCCCATTTCCTAGTGGAGGTACCACTGTGAAAAACACTCATAAGTACGTTCGGTAGATTCTGAAAACAGGTTTGGAAACAGTGCAAGGAAAGGTGCCTAAGGTTAGTCAAGGAACGATCATTGTAGAGGCCGAAGTTAAATGTTCGGCTACACCTCAACCTGCAGTGAGATAATAAAAGGGATCGAAGAACGCTCTGGACCATCTGACTCGCAAATCAGGATGAATTACTCGCAGGGCACATCGTTGTTGTGGGAATCCTCAATAGGGGCGTCGTTATTTGCGCCAGAGAGAAGGGGGTCTATTTCGCGCCTGGGAAAATTTATTTTGATAGTTGGTTTTGTCTTGCCCTCCACGGACGTTGTAAAGGGGGGGGTCGTACTTGGTTCATTGTTGGGAGGGAGACCACGAAACCATCCTACTTGTCGCGGTTCCCGCGACCTCAGATCACAAGATCGCCTGGTCACAATGTGGGGGTCTCAACGCGCGCCGCTACAGTACTACGAAATGCCGCACCAACGACGGATGGCCTAAAATCCGCACTTACCTTGTGCGCTCGTCTGCCGAGGAGGACCTATTCTCACTATCGTCAGTCTTGCTTTCTGTCAGCTCGCCTATGCCGTCGCGCCGTCTGAGCACGCAGCAGCCGTAGATCTGCGTAGGAGCCAGAATCGTAAGGAAAGGCAACTCTCAGGGCCTCTTGCACGTGCTCCCCATTATGCCATACGTCTATTGGATGCCAATCTGTGGTAACGCCCTTAGCAGGGTGAGAATCAGCTGCGCCCCCTAGTGAGGCGGTGAGGTTCGTCCCTTAAGATTAGGTCACGGGTTTCTTTTTACTTTGTACATGTTGTCATTACAGAAGGCATAATTAAATGATGACTTGACGTGATGTTCTTGAAGTTCCTTTTTATTTGGTCAGTTTCCAATATCAGTCTTCTCTTCGCTATTCGTTACTAATGCAATCTAACGATAGTCTCGACATGCGTGCATCGCGGTCAGAGGTGATCGCGTAATGTTAGCAATCCGCGGACCTTAGTGATCGAACCCGCGTCCGCACCGTACTCAGTACCCGTTCCCCTTTTTTTTCAAAACGACCTTGAGGCTCACAATATTTCATAATAGGATTAGTTCCTAAGCAATTGCACAGAAGGCTACGTTGGAAGCTCGACTAGGGTACTGCCTTTTCCACCCTTGTGACCAACGTTTCTTACTCGTGGACCTGGAGTGGCACCAGCAATCACGAGGAAGCCTCTGGTTAGAGTCGAAACGTATGGCCATGCTCCGGAGGTAGGGAACGGGAAGGAAACCCTTCTAGAACGCGTAGTAGTTCACCGACGGACAGTTCCGGAAACGAACTAGTGCATAACTAAGAGCCAACGGAGACTCCCTGTGGTCTGGCAAGTGAACCTTTAGCAACCTATGTTGTGGTAGTACTACGTCCGTAATTGCGTACGCATTCTAGGCTGCAGCTTCGGCCCGCAAACAATGAGTGCAAACCTTTGCGTTCGATTCTTGATTTTCTTCGTTCGATGCCTCATTCTATTCATGGTTTTCGTCTCATTGGGTTCGTTTTTACTATGCCGAAATCATTTTCATAACAAATCGTACTGCTCAGTTGATGCCTTCATGGGTTTCTAGTTTCTCCTTGTGGGTTCTAGTTTTTTCTTTAGCTATTACTCCGGGGATAACCTATTCTTGTACATCAGGAAATGCCACCTTTTCTCGCTTAAGTTACTCGCCCACCCGATTATGATAGCGTAGAATGGCTGGTGCAACTATCTATAGAACCCTTTTTTTTTTAGATTTGGGTACGGCAGTTACCACCTCCTGCCAGTAATTACTCTTGCAATGCCAAGTATCAGCTCCTGCAAAGCTAACCTGACTAAAGCCTATACCACCTTGGAAGTAACCCAAGGTAAGGTCTCACAATGTCTTATCGACCCTTTCGATGTTACTGCTCCGATTGATGATAAGCGTCGGGCTTCTTGACGAACGTTCATGGGAGCTCTTCAGAATGCACATATCTAACAGTAAGATCAGCCCTTCGCGTTCAGACAGCCAGCAAGCTTTCTTTTGCTTATGCTGGCGTCATTCGATAAACCCCGGAAGCCGATAAGTAATAGCATTATATGCAAGAAACCAGAATTGAGGAAGCCACGGTCAACGCTGAAAATCTCATAAGGGTTCTCGAAAACAACCTAGACGCCACGAGAGCGCTCCTCGAAAAGATGAATATCCGAGCTCCGGGTGCGCTTACAAGCCAGACAGCCCACAGTCCAGCGAAGTGCCATCAAATCAAGATCCCAACAATGGTGGCGTTGATAACACTACCCAATTAGTTCAGTCCAACCAGCATATGCTTTAAGTTACTGAAAGGAGATTTAAGATTGACGCCTAGTAAGTATTGGACTTTTAGACCAAGTAGGGGCCGCATTTCTTCACTGTCATTACAATGTCCTAACTTAGGCAGGACTCAGCGATCCAAAGTTTTCAATTCACTTTTTTTCCGTGGAGCAAGGTGGCTTCAGTCGCTGCCATCAGAACTGCAGAAGGCGTCAAGTACCTTGGTTTTTAAGAGGAAACTTAAGGAAGTTGACATACCGACTATTGTGGGCATTCAAGATTTTTGAAAGTTTAGGGTCTGGACGGTCTCCGCTTGTGAGTATTTGTGTTGCCAAGTTTGTTGATGTTCTGGTTATTTTTCTTTGTGTCGATTTGTTTTGTAACTTATCTGTTTCGCTCATAATGTAGCGCACCCGTGTGTGCATGATAAATAAATAAATAAATAAATAAATATCTTACACAGCTCGAGGCCCCAAGCATACGGCTTCAACCTCAGCAATACATCGGGAATAAACACCCCACAGAAGCGCAGGTTCAAGCCCACCAAGCCATTCAATTGAGTAAGCTTACACTCGAACGGTGACTTTACGCAGTTTCAGAGATTCTAGTGCGCATTTGAACTTTCTGTTCCGTAACAACGCTAATATCAGCCCTACCGCAGAGGATCATGTGTGGTGGACCGGTCCGCGATTCTTGCTTAGCTCACAGGATAGTTGGCCATATGCTCATTTGGACTTCGCTGTTCCGTTAGACAACGTAAAGGAATACGAGTCAGAGTTACGTAATGTTCATAGTGCACAACGGAGTAACTTTGATTCTGTATTACCTTTTGAAGCTACTAATAAGTATCCCAAACTAGTTAACATTACTGCCTACGTACTGCGGTTTATAGACGTTAGAGTTTTCAAACGTCTCAACACAAGCTTGCAGAATCGCATACTAAACTGTTTACCTCAAGTGCAAAATCGCGTACTAAACTGTTTACCTCAAGTAGCAAACATTCGCCCTACATCCACGTGGACAGCGGAGGACGTTAATGCCCAGCCGAGTCCTTACTTGCATCCTTTCATTACAGATGAGAGTGAGCATATCCTACAGCGACTGCAACTGAGCGCGTTTAACGCGCCAGAGAGCTGATGAGCGGGTTTAATACGCTGCCCCTGCGGCGCGAATAAGCACCGCACACAGTAACACCAACTTCCTGTCCCGTCTCATAGACTACTTATATAAACCATGACTACACATTACACGTATCATGCGGGGACTTACGGCTAGGATAGCCGTTTTGCCAGCAGAAAAACTACTTCCTATTCCATCTATACGCAGCACTGTACGGAAAGAACTTCATACATGTGTGGTGTGCAAAAGGATGAATGCGCGCGCATACCGATACCCTGACATGCCAAATCTTCCTGCGGAACGTACAACGCGCTCTAGACCTTTTCAAAATGTGGGTATAGACTACCTAGGGCCGCTGACGTACGAGCATATATCTCCTCAAACAATGGATTGGTGGATGCTGCCTTATCACTTGTATGACTTACAGGAGCGTTGTTCACTTTAGAACTTGTGCTTGATTAAAAGTATAACGCAGAGTTCTTTGCTAGCCTTTCGCAGGTTTATCGCACGCAGAGGCACCCCAGACATTGTTTACAGCGATAACGCTTCTACATTTCATGCGGCGAACGATACTATTCAAAATCTTCTGTACCCCCCTTCATCATGGCAGCAGATTGCAGAATATCTCGCTGGCCACAAGATTGTATGGAAATTTATCACGCCACTGTCTCCCTGGAAAGGGGCTTCTATGAAAGAATGGTAGCTCTCTTCAAATCCGCCTTCCAGAAAACGTTAAGAAGGTCCCTATTAACGCTGGAGCAATTGGAAACCGTAATGGTCGAGATCGAAGCCGTCATAAATGCTCGTCCAATAACTCCTTATTGGGAGAGCGATCCATTTGTGCACGTTCTACGACCAATAGATTTCATTTCGCCGCATGTTAATATACAGCTGCCGACACTCAAGCACACCCCCGGCGAATGTGAACTAGCATCTCATAAACTTACTGCATGGTACAAGCAATCGCTAGCGATCTTAGATGCCTTCTGGGATCAGTGGCACACCGACTACCTAGCAGCCCTACGGGAACGGCATCAACAACGCATACATCAACCACTGAGTACAAGAGCACCTCCCCGCATAGGCGACGTCGTCATTATAGCCGACGACAAACTCATAAGGGATCATTGGCCGCTAGGAATAATCACCAAGGTCTCCTCTGGCGTTGACAATGTGCAACGTTCAGCAACTGTGAGAACAGCTAATGGTAAACTTCTTGACGCGGTCACTCAATCAACTCTACCCACTAGAAATACTCCCAAAACCCTCAGGAACTCAAACACCAAAAGCCTCAGACACTCAACCATCAACGCCCTCTAGCACTCAACAATTAACCCCCTCACGTACCCTTCCATCAGCGCCGTCAGGCACTGAGCCAGCCCCCTCAAGAGTTCAACCGCGAAGAACGGCCAAAAGTCATCATAGATTTATTCGCCAGCATCGATAACAACTCTAACTCATTTCTGAATACACAAATCATCAATTTATTCAATTGCTCGCACTACGTCTCCACTAGAGCTTTGACTGACGCATTTTTTATTATATACACTCGTACTTTTCTAATATTGAGGGAAAAAATTCGACGAACCTACCCTTCTAAACACCAATGACACGTTCTATGCTATCATAAAGCAGTAGCTTATACACTGTTTTCATCGAATGAATGCGCAAGGCATTTAAACCAACACTTCCCCACGCGTCGCGCCTTCGTGGCGGGACCACATCAGGAATACCATACTTCATCACAGCTAATCCCAATTCTCAGGCAATCAATAACGTCATAGTTTCATAATCCACATCGTCACTCTACCGAGCTATCTCATGCGTTGTTAATATCATAATCTTATATCACGTTCACGATGTTTGCCACGCTCGTCACACTCTACACTCAACTGCAAATGAACAGGTATTCACAGATTTGTCTCTTCGTTTCAAATTTGCATTTTTTTTCTCCTTTTCGAGGATTCGTTTTCACTTTGACCCATTGCGTACCGCAGCGCGCTTGTTCGTCTCCTAGGGCCGCGTGCTGCACGCGGTGCAGCCTTCGTTCAAACTTGTTAGCCATGTTGCATGACCCCAGTGAGTCGCTGTAGTTTGATGCATCCGAAAACTGTAGACTAGGTGGAAGTTAGAGATTCAACTAGAGCTAAGTGTCGAAATTTTTAAAGATATTCTTTAACTACTACATATTTGCTCATTCCCTTTAACCAGCAAAGCCGCAACTAAGGTTGTGACTGGACTAAGGGGTCGCCAGATAGAATAATCGAATAAATTGTAATCGTGGTGCGCCCCATTTCCAGTTTTCCTCGATTTGCAACCCTTTGAGTGATTGTGGACATCTAATCCTTTTGATGCGGCAAGACAGCAAAATTCCTCTAGCCGTCGCTACACTCTCGTTCTCGCG